AATTTAATAAATTAAATCTTTTTGATAACAAAAATCAAGTTTACAAATTTGTTTAAAAGCGTATCAAAAAATTGTTCTGCTGGCTCCGAACTTCTAAATCAATGCTTCCAAGTTCATGCTTAACTATCCCAAATGAAACGTTGATATTTTTTGTTGATATCATTGTTTTGTTATCATTGTTGATATTTTCTTTTTATTCCCAGCAGTAGTACTTGATATAGAGCATTTGCCAGTATGAAACACTATCACAAAAATACACATGGAGATAACATAACATATTATATATATTAAATAATATATGAAATATAGTATATTCTATAATATATTAAGTTGTTGTTAATTTTATTCGCAGACTCTGCAAACTTTTCTTACGAATAGTCATTTTTTAATTAAAGAAATTTAATTGTTTCATAGCTATCTAATTTTGTATTGTCACCTGTTGGTGAACTTTTTAAAAATTTAAATTTTTTTTTAATATAAATAAATTAATTTTCATAACAGAATACAGCAAGCAATACTTTACAAATGTGTTAATAAACGGATTTTTTTAGATGCTTAATTTTAAAAGAATTCCTAAGTTATTTGTTGGGAAAGTAAAACTTACAGTCCCTGGACATATTATTAAACGCACTATTAGATTCTATGCAAAATTATAATTATCAGGTGATACTATACAGCTGTATTGTTTTTACTCGGACGAAACCGGTTTGCGTGCGTTTACGCTCCAGTATCAATTGGTTAACATTATAACCAATAAGTTGAAAGTAAATACAAAAAGGAAGTACATAAAAAATCTCCTGTATAAAAACCCATTACATGTATGTTTAAATATAAAAGTATTGCCTATAAACTCGTGCAAAACATGCCATTTTTAAAACTCTACAGTGCGTGTAATAATTTGATCTAATTATTATAATATACTAATATAATGCATGGTATAATAAATATTCTGTATTTATATTATATATCGTCTAATTTAACCAATTGATACACTAACGTAAATAAGTGCAAACCTGTTTCAGTCGAGAGAAAACAATGCAGCTGCGTAGTATCACCTGATGATTAAGATTTTATATAGAATCTTAGAGTGCGTCTAATAATGGGACAAGGGACTTTATTTTCTTTGTTTCATGAATTTCATTCATTTATTTTTGCACGTAAAATTTCAAAACTTAACTCTTGGCCGTTTCACATTATTGAATAATTATTTTTTTTTTCTGTATAAAACTTACTCTTTTTTTTTTTACTATCGGATATTAAGAAAACCTGAGTATCAAATATAAGTCTAGATATTTTCTTTTCTTAATCTCATAACCAGAGCCTTATAACTCTTGAGGAAGATTTATAGCATTCAAATATACCTTAATAGAAATAAATGGCAATATTTTTACAGGTTATCATTTGGTTCTTTCAAAAGGAAGACCATAACCACAGATCTAGATTATAGAGTAACGAATGATGATGGACATGGAAGGAAATAAGGAAAATGAGTCTGTCTGTCACAGCTGTGGAAAAGGGAATTTCTCGTCACTTGGTTCCATCTTTTTCCCTCTGATAGTCGAGAAAGAAGAAAATGGTCCGTTAAAGGAACAAGATGGATGATGTCATACATTTGGCAACTCTGGAGCCATTATTAGGCTTAGCGTCTCAATATTTCTTATCTGGAGCAAACCAAAAGTTTCGAATTATTTTTCTTCAAGAAGGTAGGTGCCTTATCAGGTTTTTTCTTCAACATTTTACGAAAGTCGGTAAAGAAACGGGGATTTTGAGAGTAATTCCGTTACTAGATAACTCAAAAATCTTGTTGATTTCCTAAGAGAAATTGAAATAAAAATATATTTGGAAGTTTGAATACTTTTTCCCTATATATATATATANATATATATATATGTATATATATATATATACATACATATATATATATATACATATACTTAGACTTAGGTTGTTCAAAACAAAAACGTTATATTTTAGAAGTGAAATCGAAGTTTCTTTAAATGAGAAAAAATAATAATTATTAAATATTACTTGCGTGTATGGGCTTAGGGGTTAAATATGAGCAAAATGTTTACAATTCCTGCTGTCAGTTTCCAATATCTATGCTAAATACGCAAAGAGTTCAACAGTCTCTTATGGACTCAAACTTTTGTCCACTCTTTTGACTTAACTATTAAGAACATATATTACATATAAGAGCCGTCACTCATTTCTTGTTTGAGAAGCAGGACTTTCGATTTCTGTGGAATTTCTATTCCAAGAATGTGCATCAAAATTCACGTTTACATATAGCATTGCTTGCTGTCAACATGTCAACCACGTGGGTTAGTATTTTTAATATTTCTATAATAAAACTCTCGGCACGTAACTTGCATATTATGAAACCTAATTCGGTTTTACCATATTGAAGTCAGCTTCATCACATATTTTTGTCGTGGATTTTTTTTTCTTCCTCCCATTTCACTGCATCTCTCTATATTTTTTTTAATATCATTTCACTCTTTTCAGTATTTTTATGCTGTCTTTGATCTCGCCGAATTTCTGTGAATAGATCAGAAGTAAAATTATATCTGTATAAAATGAGGGTATTCATTAAAACTGTTAAAAAAATACATTCCCAGTTGATTACGGTTGTGGCAGCGTTACTGTCTTATATAGCGTTATATTGTATTATATAGCGTTTATATAGCGTTATTGTTTATTTTATTTCGCCTCTCGTCCGATGACAGAAGTTCAAGGTGTTCGAAAAATGGATTATAGTTTTTTCTATGGGTACACATCAAACGAACCGGTGGCCAAATATGGGCTCCCGAATATCCCAGCCACAATTATATCTTTTCCCCAGTTTAGCTCGAGATTGGCTCAATATGGGTCCTATATGATCATGCTCCGAGAGACCATTTTTGGAATATCTAAATTTTTTAATATTGGTCCCATGCAGTGTCAATATCGGCCTGTATAGGGCCAATATAGAATTTATATTGACTGTTTATAAAATATCGTGTGAATCGGACAAGTCTATATAGGGCCCATATTGGAAAAATATCGGACCTTTCAACCCTTATTGAGCGAATATTCGTGAATAGTGGAGCAATGACCGTCATAGTTATTTTGCAGCTAGGGTAGTCTCTAAAATCGACCCTTCAACTTTACTGCAAAACATTAATTGGATGGACCTACAGTTTGAAGTAAAAGTTATGTAACTATTTTTCTAACTAGTGAGAAAATTTTTCTTTAATAAAACATACTCGAAATAAAAATATGCTCAAATGAATGTAAATGTAAGAATACAAAATGCCAAAAAATCATTTAAAAATTAAGGATGTAAGTGAATTATGTAATTTTAAAAATTTAAAATAAAAATTTATTGTTCAACAGAGAAAAATGCAAATTTAGAACTGTTAATTTTTTTAAAGTGTGCAATATTTTAAGAGGTTTATAATTCAAAAATATAAAACATATACTTCATAAATATTACACGTAGTTTGCTTTAACTGCATTTTATTTATTTTTATTTTTCTTCTCTTTTGCGCCTGGCTTATTTTAAGGCTTTATTTTATCAGCTTAACCATGTTGTTTTCGTTAAGTGTGTTTTTGATAATGTTGAGCGCTGCAGAACCGACCCCGGTTCTTGTGTCATTAATATTTATATTTAATACAATGACTTTAATTTTTACTGTCGAGAAAATTGATTTTTCTCACATTGTCATCCTATCGAATTGAAAAAGTAACAAAAGCGCGTTTAATGAATTAAATAAATATATTTCGCGTCTCAAAAACTAGTTGTACTATACAATTTCTATTTGAATTGCGTTGCCAACAAAAGAAAAATAGTTGTTTACGTCCGTGTATCAAATGGTTAAATTAGACGATAGATAATATAAATTTGACGATGGAATAAATTAGACGATATATCGCATAAAAATAGAATATTTATTGTATAAGGTATCATATTAGTATATTATAATAATTAAATCAAATTATTAGGCTCACTGTAGTGCTTTAATTATTGCATGTTTTGTACGAGTTTATAGGAAATACTTTTATATTTAAACATACATGTAATGGGTTTTAGTTCAAGATATTTTTTTATATACTTCCTATATTTATTTATTTTTAACGTATTGCATTACAATGTTAACTCCAAGTGATAAACAAACATAAACAAGTGTAAATCGGTTTCAGCCGAGTAAAGATAGTAATGCAGCATAGTATCACCTGATAATTAAGATTTTACATGGAATCTTATAGTGCGCCTAATAATTTGGCCAGGAATAGTAATCTTATTTATTTATAACTGTGTATTTCAATTTTTAAGAAAAATATTTCATTCAATTATACTGAGTGATTTGATTGCTGAAAAGCTCTATGTTCATTTATAGCGCCTGTGAAGCTAAAATTACTTTGACGTATTTTTTGCAGCTTAATATTGCATTAGTTTAAATTTCAAAATTCTGAAAAACTAATTAATATAAATAGGAATACTTTTATTTATAAACGTATTTTATTAAACAAATAAAATATTTATTATCATAATACAAAAAATGACAATTCACAGTGCTTTTGAAACCGAAATTGCTTTTGAATATTATCCATTTCTTCATATATTTTTTTCTACATCAGTTTTTTTTCAGCCTATTAACATGTTAAATTATATTTGACTTCATAAAAACTAATAATTTTGAATCAAAGTATCTCTAATTCAGAAACACCCTTTATCCGAATAAACTGAAACATATTGCTGTTTCTGGTATGTAGTCTTTTTTTAAGTTCTTCATTTATCATTATAAAAAGGAGAACTTGCCAAAATATCTAAAAAAATAAAATGAAAAAATGAAAATATTTCACGATATAAAAGAATCTCACGCAATGATGTGTCGTGCAGCATACGGAGCAACGATCATTTTCCACCCCCTATATTTTCCACCCATCTTTACTGCGCCTGCGCTGGCGCCCTTTTGATAAGTATTCTGAGCAGGGGCGCCCTCCATTTTCACCCCGGCATTCACCGGCAGCGAATGTATTTTCCCGAAATGATCTGAGTGGGTTGATTTCGATTACTTCTGGCTCTATATTTATCCATAAAACCAGAGTCAATACAAACTCCGTTTGAGTTCGAAAAGTAGAAAGGACTTATTGCATTTCAAGTATTTGTTTGTGTAAGCGGAAGTCAAATTCACACGTTATTTTAGTAGAATGTTTTGAGTAATAGTTACTGGCTGGTATTGACTATATAAGTAGAAAAAATAACAGGTAGTAAGAGTTCTTGGACGAAATCGTTCGTGACAAGTAATATTGTGGTAAACAAATTTCAATATTTTTTCTTCTACAAATATAATGAACTATTCCCGTTATATAATTGCGTTTAAGGCAATAAATTACTAAACTAAAACTTTGTGAAAAGTTTATATAACGTTAAAATATTTAGAACAAATATGAAAAGATTCAAAGTTAATATCAAAACTTCTACGAAATAAAATGGATTTTCCAAATAGTTTGAAATCCGTTTAAAAATGAATTTTCCGCATGGTTTGTTTACCTAGTATGATACCTCTTAGAAATATCTTCGATATCATCCTTTTGTATGTCACGCTAATTTTAGTGTTTGCCACGCTCTGGTATTGTTATCGAACATGGCCTCAACACATGATTTCAGTGACACGTTTGTCACAAAGCGAACATCTGTAGTTAGAAAAAAGAACATTCGGTACTTCAAACAAAGACATTATAAAATAATATCTTAGTCGATTGCTCCAAACTATAAACTATGCGTTTTACTAATAAAATGAAATATTTTCGATATAGAAATTGCTATTTATACGTTTATAGCTTTAAAATTTTATGAAAATTTCTCATATTGCACGTGACTCCAGAAAAAAAAATGAAAATATTTCAAGATATACCAGCATGATGACGCTCTCGTACATAAAGATGCCATGAATATCATCATGACGTCACGGACTGCAGGTTTTGCTGCTATTTTAATGCTATGTTTAGTGGGTAGGGTGCTGAACTGCTACAAATTTCCAGCAGATGTAAAAGATCCGTGCGAAGACAAAGAGTGTCAGTTTGGGGCACAATGCAGACCTTCTCCGGATGGACAAACAGGTGACTGTGTGTGTCCAGAGAAATGTGCAACATATGGTGACAGTCGTGGTTCAAGACCTGTCTGTGGGACTGATGGTGAAGACTATCCGAACGTTTGTGAATTGCGTAGAACTGCATGTCGTTTAAAAAAGGAAATCGAAGCCAAATTTCAAGGGCGATGTGGTAAGTTTGAACTTATCCTCCTAGACTTATTTTTTTAAGTTAATAATTTAGGCAACAAAAAGTGTTTCTTGAATATTTTTTAACATTAGAAAAATATAAATTTTACCTAAATGTAGCTTTTAAATTATGCGGTAAAATTATATTTATCCACTTACATTTTGGTTATTAATTTGATGTGAATAAAAATAATGGCATATTTTAACAGTATCTTATGTAGAAAATTTAGAGCATTTTTTTCTTGAATCATAAAATGATATTTATTTAATTATACCCACATGCAAATATAACCACAATTTAGATTTTATTTAATAAAATTATTACAATGCATGGACAGTTTTAATATTTTTAAAAATTTTCAATTTGATAAAATGTCATTGTAATAAAAGACCAAAAATTGAACATTAATTTGTTATTTGGGTATTTCTTAAATAAAATCCTATATGCCTGAGAGTTTTTTAATACTTAAAGTACGAAACAAAATTGCCTATTTAGGAAAATAAAAGTTTCTCAGGAAAATTGCATTAGTACAACGCATATTAGTATTTTTAATATGAGATATTGGTAAAATATTTTATACTTTTAAATAGTTTACTGTGTATATATATATATATATATATATAATGATAGATCTCACTCATTTACTATATA